GTTCCTCAGCCAACATGTGCTTCCGATCTTCCCAGGCTCGTGTGCAGAAAACCACTTCCCTCCAGGGGACCCCAGCCCCGGGCAGCAGGAGCCCCAGGACTCTGCTCAGAGCTGCTGCAGTGAACACTCCGAAGGTCGGGGGAGAGGAGAGGACTCCACACCCTGGTGTGGGGGGACAGGGGAGCGAGCGACTGCAAGGGCACTGTCCAGCCCCCCCCAGGGACAGTCAGCAGGCCGTGGAGAAGGCAGCACGGCGGTAGGAATCAAGGCCAAGTCAGCCCAAAGGGTAAACTCTGTGGAAACAGACAAAGGGTTGAAGGAATTAGAAACCTCAAGATATGGGGCCATCAACTATAGAGAGGTTGAACCAGACTGCGGCCTGATGTCAAAGGTCATCACACACCGGAGGTCCCTCTTCCGGGAGAAGCCTTACATGTGCAGTGAGTGTGGCCGGGTCTTTAGCCATAAGTCAATTCTCACTACACACCAGAGGACACACTCAAGTGAGAAACCGTACATATGCCTGGAGTGTAGACGTGGGTTTACCCAGAAGTCAGGCCTCCTCCTTCACCAGAGAACACACTCAGGGGTGAAGCCACATGTGTGCAAGGAGTGTGCACAAGGCTTTACCCGGAAATCAAACCTCCTTATGCACCAGAAAATACACTCAAGGGGAAAGGCTTATGTGCACATGGAGTGTGGGCGAGGCTTTAACTGGAAGTCTGGCCTCATAAGGCATCAGAAGATACCCTCAGATAAGAAGCCTTACATTTGCAGTGAGTGTAGCCAAGACTTTAACCACAAATCAAATCTCCTCAAACACCAGAAGACTCGCTCATGTAAGAAAGCTCACCTGTGTCTGCAGTGTGGCCGTGGCTTTAAGCAGCAAACGCGCCTCCTTCTCCACCAGAGGACACACTCCGGGGAGAAGTCTTATGTTTGCAGCGAGTGTGGCCGAGGTTTTACTCGGAAATCATACCTCCTTATGCACCGGAGGACACACTCGGGGGAGAAGCCCCATGTGTGCAAGGAGTGTGGGCGGGGGTTTAGCCACAAGTCAAATCTAGTCACACACCAGAGGACACACTCAGGTGAGAAACCTTACGTGTGTCTGAAGTGTGGGCGAGGCTTCAGCCAGAAGGCCGGCCTACTTCTTCACCAGGGGACACACTCAGGGGAGAAGCCACATGTGTGCAAGGAGTGTGGGCGAGGATTTAGCCACAAGTCAACTCTTATCACACACCAGAGGACACACTCAGGGGAGAAGCCATATGTCTGCAAGGAGTGTGGCCGAGGCTTTAGCCACAAGTCAAATCTCATCAAACACCAGAGGACACACTCAGATGAGAAACCTTACGTGTGCCTGGATTGTGGCCGAGGTTTTAACCGCAAATCAAATCTCAACACACACCAGAGAACGCACTCAGGTGAGAAACCGTATGTGTGCCTGGAGTGTGGACGAGGCTTTAGCCAGAAGTCAAGCCTCCTTTTCCACCACAGGACACACTCAGGGGAGAAGCCACACGTGTGCAAGGAATGTGGGCGAGGCTTTGGCCAGAACTCAGACCTCCTTCACCACCAGGTGACACACTCAGGAGAGAAGCCACATGTATGCAAGGAGTGTGGGCGAGGCTTCAGCTATAAGCAAAGCCTCATTAGACATCAGCGGATTCACTCAAGAAAAGCCCTGTGTTTGCAGTGAGTGTGGCCGAGACTTTGCAGTAAGTCATCGTTGCTCATACAGTGGCGCACACAGAAGCTGTATGTGGGCAGGAACAGTGGGGGTGCTTTAGCCGTCAGTTGTCCCTCCTCTTGCACCAGAAGACACGCTCAGGGAGGAGAGCTGTGTGGGCAGGGTCTGTGGGTGGAACTTTATTCCACTGTCCCGCCTTAGCTGCCTAAGTGGACAGATGACTAAATTGCCACCACACATTACGGGTTCCCCACTTCTGCAGGTGTTTCAGGAGAAGTCCGCTGGGCACCTGTGCTCTGTGTGAGGGTGGGGGCAGCAGTCATGGAATAGGCACATTTTCCACATTCTGTAACCAAGTGGAAGAGAAAATTAGAAGGCTTTACTTAAGTCATTGAAGAATGGTTGACCTGTTTTCTTTCCATACACCAGTTCATTCCCATGCTTGGCTGTCCTTTCATTGTAGTGAAATTTTTCTCTAATAAACCATAACTCAGGCTGCATCTAAGTCATCTGTCCTGAAGGTACATAGAATTCAAATTCATAATCCAATTTTCTTGCGTGAACTCAACTCTTAACGAAAAATAAGTCCTGAATACGTGTATCAGAGAATCTGAGCCTTTGAATGGCAGGAGGGGTGATGGATCTGGGGACAGATGCCAGGTGAAGGGAGGGAATAGCCCATATCTCCAGGGACTGGATTACCTCTTGTAACTAATCCCTTATTCTGTAACTACCTCTTCTGTTGTCTTCTGTGAAAGCTCCCTTCCCTGGTTTTCCTTCATCATTTCTAGTTTCTGTTGAGGTCTGCTGAATGTCTCCACCCACCCAAGTATTG